AAGATTTGTGAAACTACTCAAGTACTGTTAAAATGGAGTCATTTATGTTAAATTCCACCAGGACTTGATATCTCATATATCATAATTTTAGATTCTTCCAGCAGCGGCAGCCTTACCCAACCAGCCTATAATCTCTTTAACATCTATAAAATGATCTTGCCTGAATCAATCTTTTTTTCTCTTTTTTTAGCAACCTTATTTTGATGCCCAGGGAGGGGTGCCCAGGGACCCCAAATGTTAAGGAGTACATTCTTAAGAATTCAGGTATCTGTGCACATAGTCATATAGAGCAGACTCTTGGAGTGCTCAAATATTTTTAATTGGTGAGAAGCTCAGAAAGAAGAGTGGATTCCAAACTCTAAAATCAGCCATCTCCTCTTTGGCCCAGCCAAACGGCCTGGGCCCAGAGCAGAGTGGCTAAGGCCTAAAAGCTAGTCAGGAGTCCAACTTACCTTCCAGCAGAGAACCACAAGCAAGGCATTAGGCAGATTTCAGAAAGCTGGGACAGAAGGAGAGACCCAAAATTCATGATGTACCTTATAATCCAAAATAAGATGAAAGTTGGTGGCTTCCATCATCCTTGAAGCCTGCCTGCCTATGCAGCCCCATGTGTCTCTTTGTTCTCTCCAGTCCATTTCAGAATGCCTGACTTGCTCCTTTCTTCTTCCTAGCCACCCCCAAGCCCCCATTGCAGTAGTCTAGTTCATGGCATGCTGGGAGTTGTAGTCCAAGGCATCTGAGATGTAGGTGGCATGGAAGTAGAGTCCCTTTCCTGTGGTTCCCTGTCTTGTGGCAATCCTCTTTCCCCAGTAATAGTTCCATTCTTTTTGTGATTATACTATCTTCCAAATATAACTTGTTGAATGACCATTTGCCCCAGGATATGGTGAGAGACATTATTACCCCAGACTAGGATTTGTAAGGTCTGTTGCCTAAATAATCTTGCAACATTCTTTTTTTAATTACCAAGTTTCTTCTCTTGCATCTTTTCCTCTCAAATTTTATTGCTGCTTTAAAAAAGATAACCTTTACTGTACTGACCAGATCACATTTTTATTTTATGATCCCACTTACATTGATTTAATCTTACATTTATTAATTAGTTTTCTTGCTGAGAAAAATTATAACACAGATAACAAGTTTATTTGATTAATAAATCTAATAGAATAAAAGTGTTATCCTTAATAATGATAATTCCAGAAACATGCCTGTTTTAATTAAACCAACAAACTTGATTTTATCTGCTTAAGTGGATAAAATTTTGTGAATATTTGTGAAGAAGATATTATTTTTCATGTTCCTAATTTTCAAATAGTTTCTCTCATAACTAACCTCCCTCTTACCCTTCCCCTTGTAACAGGGTGGTCCCCAGGAAAAGGGGAGGTTCCAGGTACCCTGCCCTATCCAAGGGCAGGTAGAGCTTAACAGGTAGAAGAAACTGGAGAGGAGACTGGAGAAGGAAGCAGGATGGAGCCAGAAGGAGACCTGGAGGAGGCACATGGAGCAGAGAGACACGTGATGAAACTGTGCTTGCTTTTTGGTCGTGGACTGGGTGACACAGATGTGGGTGAGAGACCCGTGGGGAGGAGACAATGGCAGCTTTTATCTTGATTTTGATTTTGCTCTTTTCCTCCCAGACTTGTCTGACCATTTCTGACCCTTTACAATGGGTCCCCACCGGAACCCATTGTGCTTTAGACTTGTGGCAGGCTTTGGGGCCTTGCTCTGGGCCAACCCTGTTTGGCTGGACATTTACCTGCAAGGGGGTGGGTAATTTTGGGTGCTTGATTTCGAAACTATATTCTTTGTCTTTTCTGTACTGCACACTAATTGTAATAAAGTTTCTTTCCATTGAAGGTCTTAATGTCTTGTTGCAGCAGATGGCAGAACCTATTTATAGTGGGCAGTTTTGGGGGTTTTGGGGTACCCTTCTCCCTATCTTATAGCGCCTTCACCCCAATATCCTTGGTCTTTCATTATGTAAGGAGGTGAGCCATTCTGGTGAGTTACTTTGCTTACTGGCTCTCTTATTAAATCTTTGTTTTATTCTCTTATCAGTGTGTCTAATGCTAACATTTGTCAGCCTAGAAGAACAAAGAGGGCTTTTTTTAAAAAAAGGAAAAGTAATCAATAGGCCCCAAATAGTCATTTATGCCAAGCCCTACCAAAACTTATACCTAACCTAACTGCACTTTCAGCCTCTCCCCAAAGTGGAATCTGTTCAATCAGGAATTTCCTGGTTGATAACAAGGAGGTGATCTGCCTCACCCTCACCTTCTCCTAAAGGAAGGTGGTTTTGCCTGAAGTAATCTGTTTTTTTCTTCCTCTTCTTCAATGCAAGGAGACCCTGTTTAATGAACATGGAAGTTAGTGGTGTAGCTGAGGGCTGCGGGAGGTCAGAGGAAGATGTCCAGCCCTATACTGCTCTGGAGTGGGGATAACCAGTGATACCACCTCACAGCCTCTCAACAGTCCTGTGAGAACAGCAGATTATTATGACTGGTCCCATTGACAGTTGGGGAAACTGAGTCCAGAAAAGCTCACTGGCTTATCTAAGGCTACACAGGGTTCCTGGTCCTTCTGATAGGGGCTAGGGAGAAAGGAAGGCACCATACCGAGTACAGGAATCTGCACGTACACACAGCATAGCTATATGCAAACACTAGGTGATAAATAGTCTGTTTTCTTTGAAATGAAACTCTGCTCAGTGATGCCTGAAGACACGTAATACTCTGACACCATAAGTAGAACAAAGATGTTTTCCTAGCCCAGGAAATCAGGGTCAAGATGACTAAGGAGGCGACAACACACTCTGGGGATGTGACAGGAGTAATGCACTGTGATGAGCTGTGGTGGGAGGTTTGCTTATGATTAACTCTTTTTGTTTGATTCATTAGAAAAAAGCCAGCTTGAGATGTTAGAATGGGCTTCTAGGATAAAATACCTTTGTTCTCTCAGATTTCCTGCTTTCCTTTTTTAAAAAGATTTATTTATTTATGGATACAAGAGCTGGAGTGTAGGCCAGAGGTGTGGGGGTCGGGGGCAGCTATGAGAGGATTCACCAGAGACAAAGTGGTGATCAGAACAGGGGGACTGACTGAGGGGAGCAGTGGGTAAGACAGGAGAGGTCTGCTGCACCATGTGGGTAGCTCCCTGGCCAGGGATTGAACTCGTGTGGCAGTGGCTGCCAATAGCTTCATAGTACTGAGACTTAACCCTTTGCACCACTAAGGAGGCCCACCACTAAGCAGATTGCCTCCTTTCTGATGTTAAGGAGAGTATTACAATTCATGTATCTGTTCAATTGCCTTCTGGCAGTGACAGACAGCCTGACCCCAGCATTCCATGTTTACACTTTCCCCCTCACAACTGTGGCTCAATTCAATGGGATTTCAGTAGGTGGGCAGGGGAGAATGAACACCCCCACAGTAAGGGCAAGAAAGTATGGAGATGAGAAAGGGGCATGGTGCATGGAGATGCAGGGGTGTTGGCTGGGGTGGGGAATGGGTTCAGGAGCAGGATCTGCTGGCACTGGTGGGCAATCTTTCTTTCCTTGTGGCACCCCTATCTATCAAAAAAAACAAAACAAAACATCTATCTTGGACTACAGATCCCACCATTCCATGAACAGAACTTCCTGAGTGGGGAAGCTACTGTGACCTGGGGACAGAGCTGAGCAGCCAAGTAAAGCTATAGAACAAGGCAGGCATGTGGGCTCTTGCAATTTTGCTTCTTCATCTTGGATTTGCATCTTGGTACTGCTGGTAAGGAGACTTGGGGGGGGCACATGGAAGAGAGACAGGTCCGGAGGCTGACAATGGCAGACATTATCTTCATTTGTATTTTTGCATCTCTCTTGCTGTCCCAGAGTTGCCTGGCCAATTTTGCCCCTTTCCTGTTGTTTCCTGCCAGAAGGTAACTTAGACTTGTGACAAAATTTTGGGTCTCAGAGGCCCTGCTTTGGGCCAACCTTGTTTCACTGGGCATTAATTAATCTGTGTAAGCAAAAACATAATTGCATGCTATTTTCTTGTTCCTTTGTTCATATCTTCAATAAAAGCTTGGGCTGGGAGAGTGAGAGGCAGAGCTGCTCTCGATGGCTCTCCCCAGCCTCCCCCCATTGCAAATTCATTTAGACTCCGAGTCTTCATTAATGAGTCTTCATTAACTTCATTAACTCTGAGTCTTCATTAACTTCATCAGCTGTCCTGTCTGCAGTACCTTACAAAACATTTTTTTATGAATTTAGGATTTAAATATGCCTCCATTTACTCTCTGGAGTGTCAGGTTTACTTGAGAACTTGTATGTGTGCAAATGTTAACATTTTAAAAATTATATGCCCTACAAACAATATCCTGACCATGACTAGGTATCAGTTCAAAGGTATAATTATCTTATCTTTAATGTTTCCCATAAAATCTTATCTGTGCCACGAAGAAGTCAGCATTTTATTAATTAGATCTTTCAGGCTGTATGTACTTTTATGCCATGAGTTCTGGAAGCCATGACTCTTAGTCCAGAGTATCAATTCCAAATTCTGAGTCTTCCAGGTTCTTTCTGTCTTGAATCTTTAGTATCACTCTTTGTGCAAATACTTTCTGGGCCCTGAGCAAAGCAGTAAATGATGTCTCAAGAGAAAGAAAGTTCCAAAATAAGATGTGCTGGCAGCCAGAGGAAAAAAATAGGAATCTACCAAAAACAGATGATGTCCCCAGCGAAGGATTGAGTGAAATGAGCAAGAGTTGGGAAACACAATATATAGGGAATCAGAGCATGGAGCAGGTAAGCCCCAGCCCCAAACAGCTGGGTGAGTTGTGATCCACATGTTCCTGAGAAGGTGCATACCCTATATACCCAGTGCTTGGTTTAACATGATGAACTCCACCCCCAGCCTCCACCAAGAGCTCTCAGTTCTTGTACTTTTCACAGAAGAAGTAAAGAAACATTATTTAAAAATATCAATCTTAAATTCATTAGAAAAAAACAAATTGAACCATACCTTTGTTCCATTCCAGGTAGGAAGGGGTGAAACAGCACAACAGCAGCTCCTTAGAGACAGAAAACAGTGAGATTGAAATCTTCCTCTAAATGATGTTTAGGACTTCTAGAATGGCTGCATCCTGAAAATTTCAGTTTGCTTGGTAACAAATTTGATTTGTTTGAAGCCAGAAAACCTTTTCAAAAGCAATTAGCAGGGCACGGCAGCCAGACTGACTGCTGGTAGCCTGAACTCGGATATCTTATGGGAATGTCAGTTGTCTTCTCCACCAGTTTCCACCCACTAATAAGGAAGTGGAGGGTGAAGTTTTAGATAAACTAATTCTCTGCCAACATAGGATATCAAGGGCATGTCTACCCACACACATTTTGCAAAATCATGAATGGGATAAAGAGAAGAAAGCATTAAAGTGGAATTCAGATCCCTCCCTTACTTTGCGTTCTTCTTTGAATGCCAGTTATCACATGCACACGCTTTTCTTTTCTTTGTTTTATGCAATAAGAATAATTTATTTAATGCACTCGAAACTAAAAAACCAATCCAAAAGAACAATGACACCAAAAGCTGGTTCTTCGAAAAAAATAAATAAAATAGACAAATCCCTAGCCAGGCTCACAAAGGAAAAACGGGAGAAAGCACAATTAAATAGGATCACAAATGAAAGAGGAGAAATAACAACAAACACAGCAGAAATCAAAAGAATAATGAGAAAGTACTATGAACAGTTATATGCAAACAAGTTCAACAATCCAAAAAAGAAGGACACATTCCTACAACTCTGCAATCACCCAAAGCTAGATAAAGAAGAAATAGAACACCTAAACAGACCAATTACAAGCAGCGAAATTGAAATGGTAATCAAAAACCTCCCCAAAAACAAAAGCCCAGGACCTGATGGATTTACAAATGAATTCTACCAAACATTCAGAAACGAATTAGTGCCTGTCCTTCACAAACTCTTTCAAAAAATTGAGAAGGAAGGGATAGTACCAAACACATTCTATGAAGCCAACATTACACTAATACCAAAACTGAACAAGGACAATACAAAAAAAAGAAAACTAAAGGCCATTCTCTCTAATGAACATGGATGCAAAAATCCTCAATAAAATTCTAGCTATCAGAATCCAACAATGTATCCATAAGATAATTCACCATGACCAAGTAGGATTTATTCCAGGGACACAAGTATGGTTCAACATCCAAAAATCAATCAATGTTATCCAACACATCAACAAAAAGAACTATAAAAACCATATGATAGTATCAATAGATGCTGAGAAAGCTTTCAACAAAATATAACACCCATTTATGATAAGGCCCTTGAAATTCTTGGGATACGAGGAACATACCTCAACATCATAAAGGCCATATATGACAAGCCCATAGCCAGTGTCATTCTCAATGGCAAAAAGCTGAAAACATTTCCAGTAAGATCTGGAACAAGACAAGGATGTCCACTCTCACCACTGCTTTCAATATAATACTGGAAGTCCTAGCCAGAGCAATAAGACAAGAGAAAGACATACAAGGTATCCAAATAGGCAAGGAAGAAGTTAAACTATCACTATTTGCATATAATATGATACTATACATAGAGAACCCCAAAAACTCCACAGAGAAACCAATTCAACTAATCAATCAGTTTAGTAAAGTGGTAGGATACAAAATCAAAATGCAAAAATCAGTAGCCTTCCTATACACAAACAATAAATCTGAATAAGAAGAAATAAAAAAAAATCCCTTTTATTATTGAAACAGAAAAAAATCAAATACTTGGGAATAAATCTAACAAAAGAGGTAAAGGACCTATACAAAGAAAACTATAAAACACTGTTAAAAGAAATAGAAGACACAAAGAAATGGGAAAGATATCCTGCTCGTGGATTGGAAGAACTAACATTATTAAAATGGCTATCCTACCAAAAGCAATCTACAGATTCAATGCTATTCCAATAAAAATTTCAATGACATTCTTCAAAGAAATAGAACAATTATTGATGAAATTCATATGGAATCACCAAAAACCCCGGATAGCCAAAGCTCTCCTGAAAAAAAAAAGAAGGGAATGGAGGCATTACACTTCCAGACTTCAAACTATACTAAAAAGCCATAATCATCAAAACTGCATGGTCTTGGAACAAGAACAGATACACAGACCAATGGAACAGAACAGAAAACCCAGAAATAAACCCACAGATTTATGGTCAACTAATCTTTGACAATGGAACAAAGAATATGCACTGGATAAAAGAAAGTTTGTTCAATAAATGGTGCTGGGAAAACTGGGTTGCTACATGCAAAAGAATGAATCTTGACTACTGCCTGATACCATGCACAAAAACCAACTCAAGATGGATTAAAGAACTAGACATAAGACCTGAAACCATAAAATACATAGAAGGAAATATAGGTGAAACACTACATGACATGCACCTCAAAGACATCTTTACAGACACATCACCCAAAGCAGTGAAAGTGAAGGCAAAGCAACAACAACAAAGAAAATAATCCAGTCAAAAAATGGGCAGAAGAGCTAAAAAGAAACTTCTCTGAAGAGGAAATGCAAATGGCCAACAGGCATATGAAAAAATGTTCACCATCACTTGTAATCAGGGAAATGCAAATCAAAACTACCATGAGATACCATCTTACACCAGTGAGAATGGCACATATTAAAAAAACTAGCAACAACAAATGTTGGCGAGGGTGTGGAGAAAAAGGAACTCTTCTGCACTGTTGGTGGGAGTGCAAACTGGTCCAACCACTATGGAGAGCTGTGTGGAGATTTCTGGACCTACTAAACATAGAGCTTCCATATGATCCAGCAATTCCACTCCTAGGTATTTACCCAGAGGACACAGAAACATCCATTCCAAAGAGCACCTGCACCCCTATGTTTATAGCAGCACTGTTTACAATAGCTAAGCTATGGAAACAACCCAAATGCCCAAAAATAGATGACTGGATCAAGAAGATGTGGTACATATATACCATGGAATATTACTCAGCATTCAAAAAATATAAACACATGCAATTTGCAGCAACATGGATGGTGCTGGAAGGGACCATGCTCAGCGAAATAAGCCAGAAAGAAAAAGAAAAATACCGGATGGTCTCACTCATAGCAGGAATCTAGAAAACTTAAATAAGGGACCAGGAAAATGAGTAACTATAAGAAAGTGAAAATCAAAATCAACAAAAAACTATGAACCAGAGACACTCTATGGGGGTTAGGAGGCGAGAGGGGAGGGATTGGGGTCAAAATAAGGGGGTTGCAATTGTATGGGGAATATAAAAATAAAATTTATTATTAAAAAAAAGATAAATAGCTGGGACTACATCAAATTAAAAAGCTTCTGCACGGCAAGAGACAATAACCAGAACAAAGAGAAACCCCACCGACTGGGAGAATATTTTTGCACACAACACTAATGATAAAGGACTGATCACAAAAATCCACCAAGAGCTGATGAGACTCAACAAAAACAAAGAAAATAATCCTGAAGTCAAAAAATGGACAGAAGAACTAAAAAGAAACTTCTCCAAAGAGGAAATGTAAATGGCCAACAGGCATATGAAAAAATGTTCAACATCACTTGTAATCAGGGAAATGCAAATCAAAACTACAATGAGATATCATCTTACACCAGTGAGAATGGCACATATTAAAAAACCTAGCAACAACAAATGTTGGTGAGATTGTGGAGAAAAAGGAACTCTCCTGCATTGCCAGTGCTAACTGGCCCAACCACTATGGAGAGCTTTGTGGAGATTTCTTGACCTACTAAAGATAGAGCTTCCATATGATCTAGCAATTCCACTCCTAGCTATTTACCCAAATGACACAGAAACATTAATTCCAAAGGGCACCTGCATCCCTATGTTTATAGCAGCACTATTTACAATAGCCAACCTATAGAAACAACCCAAATGCCCACAAATAGGTGACTGGATCAAGAAGATTTGGTACATATACACAATGGAATATTACTTGGCAATCAAAAAAGATAAACACATGCAGTTTTCAGCAACATGGATGGAGCTGGAAGGGATCATGCTCAGCGAAATAAGTCAAAAAGAAAAAGAAAAATACTGGATGGTCTCATTCAGAGCAGTAATTTAAAAAACCTAAATAAGGTACCAGGAAAAGGACAAATTAATACAAAGTGAAAATCAAAATCAACAAGCAACTCTAAACCAGAGACAAACTACAGGGTGGGAAGAGGCGGGGAGAGGAAGGACTAGAGTCAAAATAAGGGGTGGTGCAATTGTATGGGGAATATAGCCAAAATGAAAATGCATACATTGTGCAAAAATGAAAAATGATGTAAGAATTATATAAAATAAAATATTAAAAAAGAATAAATTCAAAAAAGAATGATTTATTTATTAGAAAAGAAAGGATCTCTGTAGACTATTTTCCATAGCATTGTAGTTTCATTCTGGCCTTGGTTGTTTCCTGATTTCTACATTTCTCTGTATTTCTTCCATCCAGTGTCCAGTTCTGGATCTCCTGAGATGTCCATAAACCTCTTCTTAGTTTATTTTTCCCATTTGAGAAATATCCTGTCATTTGGCTGGTCACTGTTACATTTTATATATACGAGAAAGAGGTCCTCTATGGTTCTTTAAGCAAGCACAATGAAAGGAAGTACTCCTTGATATTTAACTTACCTATCTAGCTTGACTTTTTTTTTGAGGTAACTTTGGCTTACATCACAGTAGATGATTCCAAGGAATATGCTCAGACCCCCAGCTGTATTTACTATACAGCCTCTGTAGTAAATCACAGCTCCCTCCCCATTTTGCTCTAGCGGCCTAAGTTCTGCAATCATTCCTGGACAGTTTTAAATCATTCCTATTCAGTTTTAAAACTCACTTCAAGTCTTTTCTCCATTAAAATCACTTATTCCTTATTTTCACTATTCCTATATCCATTTCTCACTTTTATGTCTCCTGAATTTCTGGAGAATTCTGCACTTCACAATTTGCACTTGATGAAATAGTGATACTAAGTTCCCTGAATGATTCCTATATATTATTTGTCTCCCTCTTAGATCATAAGCTTCTGGGGTACAGAAAATATGACTTAGGTTTTTACAGACATCATAGAGCTTACAATGGTAAGCTCAATAGCAAGCTGAATAGCAAATCCCAAGTAAATTTGTAAGAGAACAATTTTACACATCTATTCCAGTGGAGAAATATCTTTTAATAAAACAAGGGAAGGAAAGACTTTTACACATTATTCTTCTCCTTCCCTGACAAAGGTCTCTCAAATTCTTCCTTCCCTAGTTTTAGAGGATATCACATGATAATTTTTAAATTGAGGAATAACTTAGATTACATAAGGTGCACTAAGCTTGATGTAGAGCTCTATGATTTTTTACAAAGGTATACATCCACACAAAAGGATGGAAACTTTCCAGTAACTCAGCCAACTCCAACCCTGTTAGTACCCAGGACAATAGTAGCCTCTATCACCATGGGTGGGTTATGCCTGTTTTTGAATCTTATATAAATGGAGTCACACTATTATATATCTTAGTCTCTTTCTCACACTGTTATGTGGGATTTACCCATATTATTATAAATAGCAGTAGTGTGTTCATTTTCATTGCTGTAGAGTATTCCACTATGAAATATTCTACATTTTATTTATACTACTATTGTTAGATATTCCTTGCTTTGGCTAATATGATTACATGCGATATAAACATTCTTGTGCATAGCTTTTAATGGGCATAAGCATTCATTTCTGTTGGCAATATACTGAGTGGCATTTCTGTGTCAGATGGTATCTAGACAATAAACTTTGGTAGGTACAATTAAATAATTCCCCACAGAGATTGTAACAATTTACATTCCCAACAACAAATGTTGAAAATGAACTCTTTTACATCAGAAAAAGAAATGTTTGCGGTGTTTTTCAGTGTGTGATTTTTTTAGTGGATATAATACACTAGGCAACTATGAACTTGTATGGTTGTTTTTTTAGCCCTAATGCAAGAATATGGCTAGCTCAAGTCACACCACAGGTATAAGGAAGAGCCATACAAAAGCAAATCAGCAAAGAAAAAGAGACAGTAATGAGTCTGTCCTTTATACCTGGCAAAGGTTAATAATTAGAAGAGTGATCTTCAGAGTCCTTATTTTATTGTGGGAGGTTATATATTTATGATATACTTTAAAAATTCCATAGAAGCTCATCTAGAGAATGGAAGCAGGAAATTGAATACTGACATGCACTATTGCTAAGGGAACTCACAATTAACTGCCAATACTGAGGAAGCCAGACCTCCATTTAGAAATAAAGGAATCGGGGTGGAGGGCAGTAAGGAATCACTGGACACATGAGTAAAATTAGGCTTCTGAAAAAAGTTATCTCTCCCAGGATGAATTTAGTAAAGAAAATGATAGAAATAAAAATTTTATTCATTCGTGTATTAAAGCATGAAAAGCAAAATTTTAATAGCAGGAACCTGAATTCAATCCATTGAGTCCCCTTGCGATAACAGGTTTGGCGACACATTTTTTACTTGTTTAGGTACTGACAGAGAAACAAAATTTTAAGAAGTGAGTTCTGGACCAAGCAGAAATAAGTTAAAAGTCAAAGAGAAGGGTCTAGCACCTGGACAGGAGACAGGCCATGCTCAGGACAGCAAGTGAGAAATCCCTGGTGAGTTGGCGGCTGGTGGACTTTTCACAACGTATGAGCTCTCTGGAAGGCTATGATAGCACACACCTTCAGCAAGGAGCACCCACCTGAGACAATTAGTGTTGGGATATGGGGGTGGAGGTTCCAGGGGGGGTGAAGAGGTGTTCTGGGTCCAGGCCCAAATGGGTTGTGAGGGCTGAGGTCATATCATTGGGCACAGGAGACTGACCCTAGAGAGGACCAGAAATACAAAGGCCCTTGGAATTAAAAAGAAATTCAACCTAGGGGAGGGAATAAGTTCCCATCTGGTACAGGATCAGGAGTTATACGGAAGACAGAGTAACCTGCAAAAGATGATGCAGAGATGAAACAGGAGCTTTGAAAATGTGGCAACGAGGGTGCGAGAATCAAGTTTTAAAAAAATCAAACTGTGAGTACCAAAACCAAAGTAAGCCAGCAGGTGCCTCAAGTAGCAGAGTAACAGGCCATAAAACAAACACAGGATATATGAAATCAGAAATCAATTTAAGGGATTGCCCAAAAGCAGAAGTGAGAAAAAGAAAAATTAGGAAAAATACATAAGCAGGGAGAATAACATATAGAAAGTAGTTTCTGTATTGCAGGAATTCCAGGAGAGAAGAGTATAAATGAGTAAGGAATAAACAGGGAAATAATGGAACATTTTTTCTCAGTTGAAGAACAACCTGACTTCATATTTAAAAGGTCCTAGTGATTGCTGGGCATAAATACTGGAAAATATACCTACTATAGATAACCTCATGAAATATGGAAATGACCCCCAAAAATCATACCAGAAATTCTACAATGGACCTCCCTGGTGGCACAGGGGTTAAAGACACAGTGCTATTGAGCTACTGCCAACCACTAAAACATGAGTTTGATCCCCGGCCAGGGAGCTTCCCATATGGCGCAGCAGACCTCTCCTGACTCGCCCGCTGCTCCCCTCAGCAGTGTATTTCCATCATTCTGCCTGTTCTGCTCCCCGCTCTGTCTCTGGTGAATCCTCTCACCCCCACACCTCTGGCTTACACCCCAGTTCTTGTATGCATAATTAAATAAATCTTTAAAAAAAGAACTTCTACAAGCTTTCAAACCACTCCCCTTCCCCACCCTACTCCCTCCATCAGGACACCACCCAAAGTGGGCACCTGGTGAGGTGAAAGAAATCTGCCGAGAACACCCTCATCTGCAAACTAAATGTTAGGGAACACCAATGGAGTGATATTGACACAATGCGGGGGCGAAGTGCAGGGCCCTCATAGTATTTGGTGTGTGGCTATAAAATAAGGGCTGAAAAGGGGGCGGAGCAACATGGCGGCGAGGAGACGCTGCGAGTAAGATCTCCCATTAAAAAAAGTGAATAGGGAGGAAAAGCGGCAGGTCCCAGTGAGAAGTGGGACACGGAAGATAAACGGGTGACACCAGCGAACTGCCCGAAGAAGAAAGTGGCCATAAAAGAGGACTAGAAGGGAGGGAAGCACAGAACCCTGCTCCCCTCCCCCGCCCACAGAGGCGGCACTCTCCGACCAGCCGAGAGGAGGAAACAACAAACCAAAACGGCCCACAAGAACAAACGATGCAGCAAGCGGGACTGTGAGTGGAAAGGAACTATTGCAGCCACCACACCCCGTGAACGGGAGCTGAGGCGAACCCTGCAGGATCCGCCGCGGCGGTGAGCGAACGGCTCCGGGCGCCATTAGAGAAGAACAAAGACCCCGGGAGACTCGCACACAGCCCGGGCTGCCGGACATTTCTTAAGACTGCTTGAAAAGGGCAGAAGGTTTCTGGAGGACCCAGTGGCCAGCCGGGAAGTTATTCCACGCCAGGCCCCTTCCGACCAGCAGTCTGAGCCCACAGAGGGAGCAGGCACCCACGTCCGGGGCAGACCGGGTGCGCAGAAGAGTGTGCCTGAAACCGGAGGCGCAGGGACTGCATCCCGCTTCGCCATTTGAGAACAGGGACATTTCTTCAGTAAAAACTGCCTAAAACCAGCAGAAAGCTCCCCCAGAAGACAGAGATGGCTCCTGGAAGAGCCAGAGGGGAGCGGAGAAGTTCACCCAAGATGTCAGTCAGTCCGAGCAACACAGTGTCCCAACGCATACGACAAATTAGAAAACAGACAGTAGGGAGTAGAAGAACCACACGCAACCTAAAAACTCCTCGGGAAAGAAGCACACCACAAAAAGAAAACCACTCCCCAGATTGCAACGACAGCAACTTGGAAGAACTTCTGAGCCTTCCAGAAAGAGAATTTAAAATTGCCATGATTAAAAAAGTGATAGATCAGAAGAAGGAAATTGAGTCCCTAAAGAGGGAAGTAAGAGAAATGCAGGAGATCAAAGAATTAATGGAGGAACTAAAGAACTCTGGGAAAAGCAATGAAAGCAGAATAGATGAAATGGAAGAACGAATAAGTAATCTTGAAGACACAGAAATAAAAAGAACCAAAACAGAAAAGGAAAGAGAAGTACGAAGGAAAAAGAATGAAGAAAGACTTCGGGAACTATCTGACTCCATGAGGAAAGGAAATATAAGAGTTATAGGAATTCCAGAAGGAGAGGAGAGAGATGTAGGAACAGAGAAAATATTCATGGATATAATTGAAGAGAACTTCCCAAATGAGAAGAAGGAGCTGAAAATTGATATACAAGAAGCAAGAAGAACACCAAACTTCCACGACGAAAGGAAAAACACAGCAAGACACATAATAGTAAAGCTCCCAAGAATCCAGGACAAGGAAAAAATAATGAAGCTGACAAGAGGGAAGAAACAGATAACATTCAAAGGAAAACCAATCAGGCTGACATCAGACTTCTCTGAAGAAACACTACGGGCAAGGAGAGAGTGGAGGGACATAGTCAACAGACTCCAAGAAAACAGATGCCAACCAAGAATACTCTATCCCGCAAAGCTCTCTTTCCTCCATGAAGAAAGAATATGGACCTTCCCAGACAAAGAGAAACTCCGGAATTTCATTGCGACTAAACCCCCACTCCAAAAAATACTACAAGGAATCCTAAAGCCAGAACCTCAGAGGGACGAATAACAACGAAAGAAGACCAAAAAAAAAAAAAAGTTATTAAAAGAATAAATAAATAAAATCAAAGGAAAGACAAACATAATGGCAAATACAGATGCTAACATATCAATATTAACTCTAAATGTAAATGGACTAAACTCTTCAATAAAAAGACACAGAGTTGCAGCCTGGATTAAGAAACAAAACCCAACCTTTTGCTGTCTCCAGGAAACACATTTAGCTACAAAAGATAAAAATAGGCTCAAAGTCAAAGGATGGAAAACAATCCTACAAGCAAATGGGCCAAAAAAGAAAGCAGGAACAGCTATACTTATATCAGATAAAACAGACTTCAAACTCAAAAAAATAAAAAGAGACCCCAATGGTCACTACATTATGATTAAGGGGACAATACTTCAAGAAGAAATAACACTCATTAACATATACTCACCAAACGAAAGAGCACCAAAATATATCAGACAACTGTTGTCCTCTCTGAAAACAGACATCAGAGAAAACACATATGTAGTGGGAGACTTCAACACACCACTATCAACAATGGATAGATCAACAAGACAAAAAATAAGTAAAGAAACTAAAGCTCTAAATAAGGACCTAGAGCATTTGGGCTTAACAGACATCTATAGAACACTAAACCCCAAAAAAACGGAGTACACATTTTTCTCAAGCGCACACGGATCATTCTCCAGGATCGATCACATACTGGGGCACAAGACAAACATCAACAGATACACCAAGATTGAAATCATACCAACCATCTTTTCTGACCACGAAGGCATCAAACTAGAAATAAATCATAAAAAGAAGGCAAGGAACTATCCTACCTCATGGAGATTAAAAGCCACACTACTGGAAGACCACTGGACTAACGAGGAGATCAAAGAAGAAATTAAAAAATTCTTTGAATTGAATGACAAGGAGGACACCAATATCCTAAATGTATGGGATGCAGCAAAAGCAGTAATAAGAGGAAAATATATAGCAATAGAAGCTCACATCAAAAAACAAGAAAGAACTCAAAGAAACAACCTAATCTCGAAGCTCAAAGATCTAGAAAAAGAACAACAAAAAAAACCCCAGAACCAGTAGAAGAAAAGAAATAATAAAAACCAAAGCAGAAATAAATGAAATTGAAACTAAAAAAACAATCCAAAAGATCAATGAAACCAAGAGCTGGTTCTTTGAAAAAATAAATAAAATAGACAAACCCCTAGCCAGGCTCACAAAGGAAAAAAGGGAGAAAGCACAAATACACAGAATCATAAATGAAAGAGGAGAAATCACAACGGACACAGCAGAAATCAAAAGAATAATCAGTAACTACTATGAACAGTTATATGGAAACAAGTTCAACAATCTAGAGGAGATGGACAAATTCCTACAACTCTACAATCACCCAAAGCTAGATAAAGAAGAAATAGAACACCTAAACAGACCAATTACAAGCAGCGAAATTGAAATGGTAATTAAAAACCTCCCCAAAAACAAAAGCCCAGGACCTGATGGATTTACAAATGAATTCTACCAAACATTCAGAGACGAATTAGTGCCTATCCTTCACAAACTCTTCCAAAAAATTGAGAAGGAAGGGACAATACCAAACACGTTCTATGAAGCCAATATTACACTAATACCAAAACCGAATAAGGACAACACAAAAAAGGAAAACTATAGGCCAATCTCCCTAATGAACACTGATGCAAAAATCCTCAATAAAATTTTAGCTATCAGAATCCAACAATGTATCCATAAGATAATTCACCACGACCAAGTTGGATTCATTCCAGGGGCACAAGGATGGTTTAACATCCGAAAATCAATCAACGTTATCCAACACATCAACAAAAAAATATAAAAAACCATATGATAATATCAATAGATGCTGAGAAAGCTTTCGACAAAGTGCAACACCCATTCATGATAAAAGCCCTTGAAATTCTTGGGATACAAGGAACATACCTCAACATCATAAAGGCCATCTATGACAAGCCAACAGCCAGTATCATTCTCAATGGTGAAAAGCTGAAAGCAATTCCATTAAGATCTGGAACAAGACAAGGATGTCCACTCTCACCACTGCTTTTCAATATAATACTGGAAGTCCTAGCCAGAGCAATAAGACAAGAGAAAGACATCCAAGGAATCCAAATAGGAAAAGAAGAAGTCAAACTATCACTATTTGCAGATGATATGGTAATATACATAGAGAACCCCAAAATCTCCACAGAAAAACTAATTCAACTCATCAATCAATTCAGTAAAGTGGCAGGATACAAAATCAACACACAAAAGTCAGTAGCCTTCCTATACACAAACAATAAATCTGAAGAAGAAGAAATCAAAAAAACCACCCCTTTTATTATCGAAACAAAAAAAATCAAATATTTGGGAATAAATCTAACAAAAGAGGTAAAGGACCTATACAAAGAAAACTATAAAACACTGTTAAAAGAAATAGAAGAAGACACAAAGAAATGGAAAGACATCCCCTGCTCATGGATTGGAAGAATAAACATTATTAAAATGGCCATCCTACCAAAAGCAATATACAGATTCAATGCTATTCCAATCAAAATCTCAATGGCATTCTTCAAAGAAATAGAACAATCATTGATGAAATTCATATGGAATCACCAAAAACCCCGAATAGCCAAAGCTCTACTGAAAAAAAAAGAAGGAAATGGAGGCATCACACTCCCAGACTTCAAACTATACTACAAAGCCATAATCATCAAAACTGCATGGTATTGGAACAAGAACAGACATACAGACCAATGGAATCGAATAGAAAATCCAGAAATAAACCCACAGATTTATGGTCAACTAATCTTTGACAAAGGAGCAAAGACTATATGCATTGGAGCAAAGAAAGTTTGTTCAATAAATGGTGCTGGGAAAACTGGGTCGCTACATGCAAAAGAATGAAGCTTGACCACTACCTCACACCATACACAAAAATCAACTCAAAATGGATTAAAGAACTAGACATAAGACCTGAAACCATAAAATACATAGAAGGAAATATAGGCGAAACACTACGGGATTTGCACATCAAAGACATCTTTACAGACACATCACCCAAAGCAGTGATAGTGAAGAGAAAGATAAACAGCTGGGACTACATCAAATTAAAGAGCTTCTGCACAGCAAAAGAGACAATAACAAAAACAAAGAGAAACCCCACCAACTGGGAGAACATTTTTGCACCCAACACTAATGATAAAGGACTGATCACAAAAATCTGCAAAGAGCTGATGAGACTCAGCAACAACAAAGAAAATAATCCAGTCAAAAAATGGGCAGAAGAGCTAAAAAGGAACTTCTCTGAAGAGGAAATGCAAATGGCCAACAGACATATGAAAAAATGTTCAACATCACTTGTAATCAGGGAAATGCAAATCAAAACTACCATGAGATACCATCTCACACCAGTGAGAATGGCACATATTAAAAAAACTAGCAACAACAAATGTTGGCGAGGATGTGGAGAAAAAGGAACTCTTGTGCACTGTTGGTGGGAGTGCAAACTGGTCCAACCACTATGGAGAGCTGTGTGGAGATTTCTGGACCTACTAAACATAGAGCTTCCATAGGATCCAGCAATTCCACTCCTAGGTATTTACCCAAAGGACACAGAAACATCAATTCCAAAGAGCACCTGCACTCCTATGTTTATAGCAGCACTGTTTACAATAGCTAAGCTTTGGAAACAACCCAAATGCCCAAAAATAGATGACTGGATCAAGAAGATGTGGTACATATATACCATGGAATATTACTCAGCATTCAAAAAAGATAAACACATGCAATTTGCAGCAACATGGATGGCACTGGAAGGGATCATGCTCAGCGAAATAAGCCAAAAAGAAAAAGAAAAATACCGGATGGTCTCACTCATAGCAGGAATCTAGAAAACATAAATAAGGGACCAGGAGAATGAATATAAGAAAGTGAAAATCAAAATCAACAAAAAACTATGAACCAGAGACACTTTTTGGGGGGTGGGGGGCGGGAGGGGAAGGATTGGGGTCAGAATGGGGCGTTTGCAATTGTATGGGGGAATATAAAAATAAAATTTAATATTTAAAAAAAAAATAAAATAAAATAAAATAAGGGCTTATCAGACTTACCAAGATCAGATATGTCTTTTCAATGGCACCCTCAGAAAACCAATTTCACAGTGTAATCTCAGCCTCATACTCCTTGGTGAAAATCCCCTGTCACAGAGGGTCCACCTCTCAAAGCAGGCCACTGCTTTCTCTGGAAGAGGATTTGACTTCTCCCCATGTGCACCCACACAATATCCCTTGTTTCTGGGCCTCTACACTTCTCATAAAAATCCCCTGAGATGTTCATCTTCTAGCCACTATTCTGTCTCCTGTAATTTTTCCATCTGCCAAGTTTCCTGTTACCCTTGTTCCTGCCCTTCACATCCTAACTTTATTGCTCTCCATATGGCAATCTGGTTTCTTTCGCCGCTCAGTCCTCAGGCACAAGTCTGGGGATTTGAGGGGTCCTTACCAGCAGCCCCAAGAAGGGAAGGGCACTAAGAACTTGTTAGACCGCACCTCACTGGACTCACCTTTCCGTTCCATGCTGCTCCCACCTCCTCCTTGAAACTTTCTTGCCTAGAAATCTGAGAATGAAAACCTTGTCTCCTGGGTCTCCATGGTGATCTGTTTATTTGCTTTGTTCTGTTTCATTTTTCCTTCTCTTCCTGCCTGACCTGAAATGCTCCTATTTCCTTGTCTCCCTGATCTTAATACAAAAGTGTAAAGGAGGGACTTGTTGGAAGGATTGAGGTGTATCTAGAAGGACCCCAGGATAAGAACCCATCCAGCCTCCTATTGCTGTTGCTCAGTGTAGGGAAACCCAAATCCCTCTTCTCCTTGTGACATGTGGGAGTACAACACATCTGAATGTCCAGACACTGACGTCATGGGGTCAAGAGCATGAGCGGGCCAAGACCACTGAGGAGTAGGGGCAGAGAGGGAACAGGCCTGGGGCTCATTTTTAAGCCACTGGCTGCATTCAGGCTTATCTCTGCAGGAACTTGCAAGCAGAAATCCAGGATGGGAGATTGAGAGCCCCGGGTTAAGCCTCTGACTTCAGTCCTGTTTTGTAATCTGGCTTTTTTTTTAAGATTTATTTATTTATGCATACAAGAACCAGGGTACAGGCCAGAGGTGTGGGGGTTGAGAAGATTCACCAGAGACAGAGTGGGGGACAGAACAGGTGGATTGACTGAAATACACTGCAGAGGAGAGCAGTGGGTGAGGCAGGAGAGGTCTGCTGCGCCATGTGGGTCACCTCCCTGGCCAGGGACCGAACTCATGCTGCAGAGGCTGCAGACAGCTTCATAGGTTGCATCTTAACCCTTTGCGCCACCAGGGAGGCCACATAATCTGGCTTTTATCAAGGAAGACTGCACTGAGACTTACAGGTTACTAGGCTGATTAGTAAGGGCATTATTTTCCCCCATTTGCAAGTGGGTCTTTTTGTGTATGCCCCATGTGCTGCAATCTGGGGAACCCTATCCCTAAGGAATGTTAGTGGAACTAGAATTCACTCTAGGACTGTGCTAGATTTTGAGCTCTGAAAGATTTTATTGACTACATCTGGTAGTGTCTGAACCAGAGCACAGAATTAATGGTTGGTAAATATTGGGGCCACAAACAGAAATTTAGCACACTGCTTGCATAAAAGCATTAACTAGTTTGCTTCTGTAATCAAATACACATGTCCTTTTAGTCTGGCTTTTGTTTTCCCTTCCTATGAGCACTGAAAGACTATGCTCTGTATCATTTTCTTGTTCTTGGAACAATCTCCCATCAGTATCAAATATTTTGAAGTATTTTCAAATTTCAGGAAAACAAATACAGAATAACAATTATTAATCAATAATTGACATCCTTTGCCAGTCCAGGAGGAAAATTCTAATGCAATTGTTCCCCTGAAATAATTTAATTTTCCTGTTTGTATAAGATTTAAGAGCAAGTGGATGAAGAAATATTAGAAACCAGCTATTTCATGTTCTGTTCAGGGCCTGCATGGACAGCTGCTGATCTCACAAGAAGGAGTGAGTATAGTTCCTTTTTTCGTTGCTTTGGGATGTCTAGATTGTTCATCTTCCTTTGTGAACCAAGGAAAAGCCAAGAGCAAGAGAATTCATTTTTAGCCATCCTTGACTTGGAGATAAAAATATTTGTTCTTTATCTCCACTGGGATTAATGTCAATCCAGACCCCCATATCAAATAAAACCCCCCAAAGTGACTAGTCTAACAACTGACTATGCAACGCTGCCATTTCATAGCTCTCAGGCATATTTTAAATCTATTCCAGAAGCCCCCTCTCAAGCTGACCACCTGTAAGTGTCAGGGCAAGTCATCTAGATCCTTCAGGGAAAACTTCTGCAGTGGCCTTTCTACCACAAAAGCCATGTCAGGTTAGCAAAGCTCTCACAGGGCACCTTTGAGTGTTAGGTCATAAACTAACACTAACATCCTGAGTACTCAGGATGTACCATCAAACAAACACAGCCCCTGACTTTTGGGCAGTCACAGTGCAGTAAAGGAGGCAGACAGCTAGCTGGAAAATGCCAGCAAAGAGTGACAAGCAATCATCCTCCTCACGTTGGTTCCAGACTTCTTCCTCTAGCCCAGACTCGGGAAACTTAGGCTACTGTCCCTTTCTATCCCAAGTGTCTTCAGTCCCTCCTCAGTTAACTGTTCTTTTCATTAGCATTTAAATAGGCACATGCGTCTCCCATGTTTAAAATTAAAATTCTTGGGCCTCCCTGCTGGCTCAGGTGGTTGAGCACCGCACTGTAAAGCTGTCCACAGCCTCTGCAGTACAAGTTCGATCCTGGCCGGCTGGTGAGAATCCCACATGGCACAGCAGACCTCTCCTGTCTCGCCCACTGCTCCCCTCAGCAGTGTATTTCTTCAGTCTGCCTGTTCTGCTCCCCGCTCTGTCTCTGGTGAATCCTCTCACCCTCCCACACATTTGACCTGTACCCCGGTTCTTTTAAAAATAAATAAATAAATAATAATAAAAATTAAAAAAAATCTTCAAAAAAATAAAATTAAAAATAAAATTAAAATTTTTTATTAACTCACAGTTATTTTCCAGTCATGATCCTCTCTCTTCAGTTTTAGTCAAACCTCTAGAAAGAATCCATGCTCAGATTTAATCATCTCTTCCTGCTTTAAAATGTCAATGATTTGAAACAGTTCAACTTCTGAGAGGACAAAGGCCTTTTCAAAAACCTTACCTGTCATGCACACCCTGACCCACCCCACACCCCATCCTTTTCTGCTTGGGGCAGGGCGAACTTCTTACCATTTCCCGAACATTCTGTGGACTCTCTAATTTTGGTTGTTGCCTCCACTGGAATGTCTTACCTTCCCATGGTTGCCTGGTTAACTCCTACTTACAATACAGATTTCAACTCACATGCTACTTCTTCTAGAAACCTCTGAGACCCAAGGATCTGATTAACTCCCAACGTAAGATTCCCATAGGATGCAGAACTCTGCATTTCTCCTTTTTAGTATCCAGCACACCTATTACTACACTTTCACAGTCTATGACCCAAGACATCTAGCTAAATGAGAGCAGGGGCCAAGCTTATCTTGTTCATTGCTGCATCCCCAACACCTTGCCAGAGTGGCTTGGAAGACGCCCAATTGAAGAAACATGTCAGAACAAAAGAGAAATGAAACTTACAGGAATTTAATGTTACAAGCCCTGCTTTAAAATCTCTTTTCACCATCCTGTTTCCTACTTTCCTTACTGTTACAAGCCCTACACTGCTAATATGTGCATTATCTCCTTTCACAAGATGTTTTTCAGCTACAAGGAGATCTTGCAGCTGTAGATAAAGAAAACCAAAGGAGCTTGGACCTCCCCAACAGCACAGATGGGCTGACCACACTAGGGGACCACCCTAAAACATGCCCTTTACCCACCTTTGCCCCCCACCAGTGGAAGCCTAGCCCTTCCACCCACCGTGCTTGTCAATAAAAAGCAAAAATGACAACTCGTTCAGGGAGGCACTTCTCTAAGGTCATCTCCCTGGAACCTGTTGCCCTTGAAGAAATAAAGTTCATTTACTTTCTCCTTTATTTTATCAATGTGATGAGTCCTCATTTCATTGAGTGAAGGTTGCAAGGATCCAGTGACACTGGTGTGGTGTATATTTTTGAATAAACAAATATACCTAATGCTATTAAAACAAGAGGGATGCCTAATCCACTTATCAAAGGGAAGTGAGTGTCAGGTGGTTTACAAATCTTTACTGCGATAATTTCCAAAGAAAATTTATTCAAAGCCAGAGAAAAGTGTGTGGAAAGAGGCAGTTGTTTATAAAGAATGAATATATTTATGGAAAATAGCCCAGGAAAACATAATGGGTTTTAAGAGAACACTTATTATTCTGAATGTGTTTAATATAAAATATTGAACACAACCACATCCAGAGTGATAACACCCAACAGCACAGTATGGATGAGTGAACAACACTGTATGGGTCACACTCTGAGGGAATTATTTTCTATATCAGTAAATTCATATTGAATTTAGCCAAGTAAAGGTGTGACTAGATAGACAATTCTGCATTTGAAATGAGCCAATCCAATGAATCAACACCCCTCTGGAGCGGAGATTCAAGGCTTTATATAAACAAAGCTTTGACTGAGAGATAAAAGCAATCAACAAGCTTTTTAAATAATAAATGCTTAGAGCTGAAAGGCACCTGATATTATCCAGCCCAGCTTTCTCAACTACTCTCCTACTCTTCTCCCCATGTTATATAATAAAGGAAATTGAGGCGCTAAGAGGTGAAGTTACCTTTCCAAGTTGTATGCCCAGTTAGTGGCAAATGTGGTAACAGACACCAGGCTTCTATGTCAGTGGTAGTGAATTTTTTCTGATTCTTGATTTCAGAAACTCCAATTTTATGGAATTTATAAGCCTTCTCCAAGCCATGCCACGAAAAAGGCATTCTGGAAACACTTACTTCCTCCAATTTCTGATCCTGACTCACCAAGCAGCACATTTACATACAGAGAAGGTTTTAGGTACTATTAACCCCAATAATATCATCCACACTAGTGAAAGGTTTGCGGTGGCGGGGGCTGGGTGGGGGGGGGGGGGTGTGTGATAACAGTAATAACGGAAAAACTGTGAATAACTCCCTGTTATGATATGATATGTTCTATGGCATTAAGTAACATTATGTCCACCTATCAATTCTGAGTTCTGGGAAAAGCAACATCTTTGCAATCAAGAGTATCTAGATAATTTCTTGTGCTTTAAAAAAATTATTCAAGATGATCTAGCAATTCCATTCCTAGAAATGTGTCCAAAAGAATTTAAAGCAGGGGCTCAACTAGGTACCTGTATATCAGTGTTTAGAGCAGCATTAATCATAATAGTCAAAAGGTGGAAAGGCCCCAATGTCCGTTAACAGATGAGTGGATAAACAAAATGTGGGATATATATTATAGAACAGAATCTCATTGTATTACAAAGCCTTATAGCTGATGCCTGCTACAACATGTATATAACCAGAAAACATGCTAAATGAAATAAGTAAGATACAAAAGGACACATACTGTACAATTCTGCTTAGATGAGACACCTAAATTGGGAAAACTGAGAAAGTAGAACAGGATTATCAGGGGCTATTGCTAATGGGTACAAAGCTACTGTTTGAGCTGATGAAAAAGACCTTCCATTGATAGTAAACTTAATGCCATTGGTGTTACACTTGAAATGATTAAAATGGTAAATTTTGTATTATATTTTATCACAATAATAAAAAATCATTGATGGCTTCCAAGTTCCACCAAAGATGACATCCTCAAACATGTTCAAATAGTCCATAGAAAGGTACAGAAAGAGGAGCAGAAGAGTAAGGAACAGAGAAAACTAAACGCAGAATGAGAGATACAATTACCTTAAGTTTAAGTACTCTAAGTACACCAATTAAAAGAGCGAATAAAAAATCAGAATCCAGTAATACACTGTCTTCAAAAGCAACACAAGAAGGTTCAAAGGAAAAGAATAGAAAAAGATATACCAAGCAGATATAGATTAAGATATACATTAAGCAGAAAGAGCAGGATTTGACTATATCAACATCAATGTGATCAGTAATCAATAATTTTGAGCTGTAATTTAAAAAAAAAACATGTGGGTAGAGCAAAGTTAATATATAGGCCTAAATGCATTCATAGTACCATTTTCTAGAACAAGTCAACAGCAACAAAGCACCTTTCCTTATTCAGTTTCCCTCTTACTAAATCACCAATGTCATCTTCTTTTGAAGCATGAAGACTGAAACATACTTGGGTGAGAAGAGATAAACCTTCTCTTCCTCTGTTGTGACCCTTGTCTCCCATGATGTTGAACATGACCATGCCAACATCTCCAGTTAGGCACATGTCCCCAAGTGGCTGTAAATTTTTTTTTTTTTTTTTTTTTTTTTAGGATGTAATCACTCTTGGATTGACTCTACTCTTTAGTGAATTGGAGGCTGGATTTCAGCGCTGACTTAAAGGAATGTGATGACATAGATCTGCCCTGCTATGTACAGGAGAGGGAAGTTGGGAGTGGGGTGCAAAGAATTTTGTCTAAGGTACAGACCCACAGCCTAAGAAGCAGCTTTTGATGCTAGCTCTCTTGGTTCCTCTTCTCCTTCTGCTCAAGTTCAATAACAGAGTTTCTTGAGCTTACGCTCTGCTCTGATGCACAAGGCAAGGAACCACCTAGCATGTGAAGTAGAGAAGTGTTTCTCAGGCCTGAGTACTTCTTCACTCCCTGTTCACTTATCCTTTGAAGACTGTTGCTGGGCATTATTTTCTTTCCTTATGAGGTCTTTCCCATTTCTAGTGTCCAAATTACCTAGAACTTGATTGGCTGGGGAGCAGAATAGGCAGACTGACTGAAACACACTGCTGAGGGCAGCAACGAGCGAGACAGGAGAGGTCTGCAGCGCCATGTGGGTAGCTCCCTGGCCAGGGATCGAACTCATGCTGCAGTGGCTGCAGAGCGTCCCATAGGTTGCATCTTACCCCTTGCGCCACCAGAGAGGCCCTCTGACTGCCATTTTTCATTGTGCTTGATGGGAAAGGAGATAGAAGGCTTTTAAAAATTATTAAAGCAGAAAGTATATTTGCTAGGGCTCACAAAATAAATGATCACAAATTGAGAGGCTTAAAATAACAGAAATGTCTCCTCTCCCAGTTCTGGAGATCAGACATCTGAAATCAAGCTGTTAGCTGGCTTGGCACTTTCTGAGTACTCTCAAGGAGGATCTGTTCGTGCCTCTCTCTGAGTGTCCATGAAGCATTCCTTGGCTTGCAGATTCATCGCTTCAGTCTCAGCCTCCATTGTCTCTTCATCTTCTGTGTTTCCCTTCTCCTGTCTTGTGTTTTTTCCTATTTTTATAAAGACTTGATACTGGATGTGGAGTCCACCTGAATAATCCAGGATGATGTCACCTTCAAATCCTTAATTAGATCTACAAAGATACTTTCCCCAATTGAGATCACATTCAGAAGTTTGGGGTAAAGATATCTTTGGTGTGTGAGATCATTCAACCCATCCTGTTTGTGTGACTTTAGTTTCAGTTCTGAAGAAGGCTACTAGAATTGAAATATAAACTGAAAGGGAACAAAAGCTAAAATTAAAAGATGCAAAGTTTCCTGGCAGTTTTGAGTTGACATGTATAAATGATGTGTGTGGTTTCCTCTTTAAAAATTGTGTGGAATCCTCAAAAAACTGGCACACTATTTAAACAGTAACCCCATACTTACTAACAAAAGCCTATCCCCCTTCAACTTCTCTTCATGGGATTTAGTTATAGAAGACATATATTCTCAGTGGTGGTACATTGAGACATATGATTACCTGAGAGGAAAAACGCATTAATATGAAACCTAACAATGTTTCAGATGTTATCTATTAAATTTAAATTCTATTTCTGTCTGTAATGAGTTTTTTAATGTTTGCTTCAGACTACATGTTGAGAAATATATACTTACACATACACACACATATACACATACACACACAACACACATAATACAATTACATGTATAATACATATAATTAACAGGCCATAATTGATAATATCCTTCTCAGCAATGAGGAAACCTCGTCTGTATAAACAAAGTTTCTCATGAAATAATTTTTTTCTATCAAAATTGCTTCAGTCACCTAATAAGCCAAATAATTACAGAAAGAAATTCTCAACATGACACCAATCACTTGGAACTTATAAATTGGAAAATATTCAGAATATAATTCTGTATCTTAGGAAGTAAAAAAAAAAAAAAAATTCTATTTCCAGTCAGGTGGTGAGCTAAAGAGCTAAATGGATTCTCTCACTAAACCTATCTCTTGCTAAAAACCTGACAAACAGGAGTCAGTGAACTATCATGAAAAGTAAGGAATTCTCAAATCAGGGTATTATACCCAGTCTTTCATCAAACAAGGGTAGTGAGTGTGTGTAGGCTGGGGGTGGGGGGTGACCTGTGGGGAAGGGTTGTATATAGAGGGGTTGGAGACAGATTGAATTTTGCACTGATGGCCTCAAACAGCTCCATTGACATAGCCCAAAGCCTGCCCATGTGGAAAGGCCTAACAAAAGATCTTCCCCCACAAAAATTGGGATCCAGCAGGTTAAGCCATCAAGTTGAGAATGAACTTAGAAATAAATTCAATCCCCCCTCACTTCTCCCATCTCACCACCAGCTGGAGATGATGAAGTATCTTAGATAAAATTTTAGTGCTAAGGAGAAAGGAATAAAAAACAAACGGGCCTCCCTTTGTGGCACAGGTGGTTGAGCGCTGCACTCTGAAGCTGTCTGCAGCCTCTGCAGCACAGGTTTGATTCCCAGGCAGCCAGCAAGGGTCCCACATGGCATAGCAGACCTCTCCTGTCTCGCCCACTGCTCCCCTCAGCAGTGTATTTCATCAGTCTGCCTGTTCTGTTCCCCGCTGTCTCTGGTGAATCCTCTCACCCTCCCACG